CCCACATGCATAAAATGCCTGAAAATAAAATGAAGTTGGGTAAAGAATTTACAATTATTAGAACCATATACACATTAATTAACCAAAGTAATTTGAAAAAAGGCATTTACTTCCATCACTGCTTTCTATCTGAAAAGTTTCAGGTACATAGACTTGCAGTGGTATACTTCTTAACAATACTCTAAATACTGAATCAGATAATAATTGTACCTTATTTTAAACATGGCCCCAAGACCTCTGTAGATCACATATGTATAGGTAGTCCTGACCATATTCATATAGCACATATGTAGTAAGAGAAATGCATTCCTTTTTCATATTCATAACAAGAATGCTGACATGAAAACTCACATATTTTCTTTGTTTAAAATATCCAAATACCACTTATATTCAGCAGTAGAAATCAGCACTAACTCACAATCTAAATAAGGGGAGGAGCCTAAAAGAAATAAGCGCTGGAGATAAGAAATGTTCTCTCTGATTTTATCTATTAACATTATGACACTAAAGGAATTAAAAGCATCTGCAAAGGCACTACCCTGATATCAATTATTTACATTCTCTGCAGTTTGCCTGCATATACATACTTTACACAAAATAAACATTTTTCTTGATGCTACAGTCTTCATAATTATCACATGAAATGATTACTCTGCTAATATAAGGAATCCTAATTTGCCTAGCCATTGTCCTATGAGAGTATTTACACTGCTTCCAATTTTTCACCATTTCACATAATAGTGCAATAAACACTTTCATTCATGCTTTTTTCCCTCTTTAATCACAATAAAAACGAAAGAGGAACATTTTTATGGCCCTTGATATCTATTTGTCAATTTGTCTTTCAAAAGTTTACGTCATTTTCCATTGCCAATAGCAATCCCTAAGTATAATTTTACCACAATCTACCAGCACCAGGTTTCATAATTTAAAAAAAATTTTACTAATGCGACAAATTGTGTATCTGATTTCCTTGAATATCAGCAAGTTTCAACACTGTATTTTCTTCTTCTGTGAACAACAATCCTTACCCATTTACCTACTGGAAATGTTTTTCTTATCAAACTATATATGATCTTTATACAATAGGGAAATTAACACATTGTATTTCCTATTTAATAAAAAATATTTCCCCAATGTTTTCCTTTTTATTTAATTATCATTATTTTAGGTCACATGAGATTTAAAATAAGTTTTATTTTTTTATCTCTGCATTATTACTGCATCACATGTTGATATCCAGTGATCATATAAATCAATAATATAATTAAAATATATTTTGACCTGATAGAGTTGCTTAGGTTGACAGTTTCTTAATGTCTTTCACGGCTGTCCAAATGTTTTACTATAGATGTTTATTACAAAACAAAGTAACACTTTCTAAATGTTTATGAGTAATGACTTGTTATTTCTTACAACCCAAAAAAGACCATGAATTCTAAGCAAGTCTAAGCAGAAAAAATGTTTGATACTCAGTTCACCTACATCACTTATTATATTAACTTATTATATATTAACTTCTACATAATAATGAACAGTTAAAGATAAGAAGACTTTTCAGTTGAGAGCCACCATCTAACAAACCTGCATATATTCTGTCAGGGGAATGTTCAGAAAAAACCCATCAATTTGCTGTCACAACTTTTCTTCCTCCTGTATTTCCCAAGCACCACTGTACTATTTATTTAGAAATTCTAGAAATCATCCTAGATTTTCTCCACCCTTACCAGCCTTAGCATTCCTGTCAATTCTGCCATCTATATATGTTGTATATTTGTTCCTCTTGCTTCATTCCCACTACTACTGCTCAAGTTCAGGTTCTCATCTTATGCTTGCATTACCATAAAACCAATAATAACCTCTACATGACCATGAGAGTAATCCTTACAATTTGCAACAGATTATAACCCCACCATGTTAAAAAAAGAATCAATAAAATCTTGTGGCCTATCGTATGCTTCATGATGGATTCCAGCTTTTTTGCCCCAAACTTCTCAAATACACATCCATTCCTCATCATACACGAGCAACAAAAAGTCACCTTTATCATATACTGCCTTGAAATAACAAGGGAGTGGAAATTAGTACTGGTGTATATTCTAAATAAGGAACATTTTCTTTTAAACATATCATCACCTGTGGCAAACTATGAGGCTTTACCACATCAATGTGGCAACTACTTACAGCTTCGTGCAGCTCTTCATGTTGACAGCAAGATTTTGGAATGCTGATGGAATCTTCAGGCCCAGAAGTATTAAGTAAGGTCTCTTC